GCTTTGGGAGGAACAGTTGGAGAAAGGGCTGGAGGGAGGCAGCATGTTGGCCTGGAACGAATAGGCCTTGGGTTACTGCTGGTAATCCTGTCTTCCTCTTGTGGGATTAGAGGAGGTCAGAATATGAGGCCTCCTTGCTGTTTTTGCAACTGCATAGTTCATATATATATATATATGTATGTATATACATATATATATATAGAATCAGAATTTTGCAAAAGGAGGCAGAGGCCACTCAGTTCATTTTCCAATCAATGAAAATGTGTTTCTTCTAGGAAGTTTCTATTTATAAACTTCTAATGACAGATAAGCACATTATTTTCCACGACAATTAACACATATTGGACAGCACTGTTGTTGGAAAGTTTGTCCTTATGTAGAGCTAAATTCTGTATTTTTCTAACTGTTACATATTAATTCTAAACAGGCTTCTTGAAGCTATAGTACAAAGTTTATTCTTTGCATGTGATATTATTTCGAAACTTCCAAGATTCTTCCAAAGCAACCAATCTTAATTTCTTTAAAAATATGTTTTCTAGGCTTCTCCAAATTCAGCCTATTTATCAGCTTTAAGATTTATTCCAGTCTGTCTTTGCATGTCTAAAAATGTACTGCCCAAAACTGTTACCAATTTTTCCTGTTTTTGATGCTCTCCTTCTATTATTTCAGCTTGAAATTAAAAAAGCTTTTAAAAAGCTGATATATTACAGTTATTAACCTTCTCTCATCTATTTTCTACAAATAATGTTACCAAGAAACTAAAAACAAGGTAACCATAGGAGAAAATGGGAAGAGAGCTGTTACATTTTGAGGATCACAATCAATGTCATGAAACAAAATGTGTATGAACTATTCTATAGGAAATGAATTTCTCTGTAAACTTTCACCCAAATCCTAATGAAAAAACAAAAAACCAAACCCATTGCCTTTGAATCAATTCTGACTCATGGCAACCCCATATACTACAGAGCAGAACTGATTCAGTTTTCTTGACTGTAATCTTTATGACAGCAGATTGCCAGGCCTTTCTTCCATAGTGCTGCTGGGTGAGTCTGAACAGCCAACCCTAAGGTTAGCAGTGAGTATAAACTATTTCTGCCACCCAGAGACCTTTATGTATGTCTTTAAACAATATTTTATATTTGTACAAATAATTTTCTGATACTTTCCTGAATTATTCATTATTTTTGGACCTGTATATTTGGACTTTTTAGAGTTTATTAAAGTAAAGTTCTACCTTCTTTAAATGAAAACTTGAATTTTAAGATTACTTCTGCTTAATGCTCAGAATGAGAGAAATATGCTATACTAGAGGTTTTCTTTTTTCCTCAGAATCTTAGAGAGTTCTAAGGAGGTGTTATTGTAGGGTATGGGAGTAGAGATACCAGGCCAGGTAGATGGGGTTCTAGTCTTGTTAATCAGATCCAATCAGAACAGGTGCTTTTATTTTATAAATTATACTTCTGAGAGTTAATTTGAAGAAGCAGTTCAGGGGTGTTAAAATATTATTGAAAATCATTTAACTATTTATAATACCTTATGGACTTTCCAGCTCCATAAATATAGCTACCTTAATTGTGGTGGTTTAAAGATAAAGAATAGAGAGAAAGCTCTAAATATAAAATAACTAAGAAGCAATATAAAGAGATGTTGTAAACAACATACCAATTAGCTTTTCCACCATTGGTTATCCACATCTTCTGACCATTAATAATATACTCATCTCCCTTCTTTTCTGCTTTGGTCTTTATAGCAGCTACATCAGAGCCTGCTCCAGGTTCTGTTACACAGTAGGACTTTAAAGTATGGAAACAGAAAATATTAATTGCTAGTTATTAAATTATGAATGTTTTGAAATAAGGATTATGTTTTTTTAAATCAGCATTTTAAAGATTTTAAATAATCTAAAAATAATCTTATGGAATCAAATAAACTTCTGAAATGTGATACATTTAAAATACAAAATTAGATGTAGGATACCAATAAACCATGTCAAAAATTAAAATATTAGATATGCTTAACCAAGTTAATTAAATTCAAATTCACAAGCACTCATTCATCCAAGCATTTATGAGTACCTGGTTTGTACCTGGTTATGAACCAGAAGATGGAGTAACCAGAGATGAAAGTCATCCTGTCCTCAAGATTTCTGCAATGTGACAATGGATGCAAGTACCAGAGATGAAAGAGATCCTGTCCTCAAGATTTCTGCAATGTAACAATGGATGCAAGTACAATGTTATATATCTGGTGTGAAATACACACATATAAAATGGACTTGAGAAACTAGCTGACTTTCAGGGTGTCAGGAAAAACCTCCTGGAGGAAATGATATTTAAGTCTCAAAAAGGAAAAGGAGCTGATTAGGGAGAGGAGGCGGTACGGATATGTATTCCAGGCAAAAGTAATAGCATATCTGCAATGATACCAATAGAAGAGTCAGAGTTCCTTAAGATAAGAACTCTGCATATAAGGGATTGGTAGAAAACAAATCTGGAAAGAAAGGAATAAAGCAGATGACAAAGAACCCTTTATATCACATTAAGAAGTTAAAATTTGCCAGGAATGACAAGATGCAAGCAGTACTTGATTAAAGGAGGTGAAAGGTGCAAGTGATAGGTAGTTGTGTTCAAGTTTACTGAGTGGCAAGTACCGTGGATACAAAGCCTAAGGTAAAAATTCCTTGCCTTCAAGGTATTTGTAATCCAAAGTGGAGAAAACCTTAACAATTAGTTTTATTTATTAAAAAAAAATATTTTTTCCTAGCAATTAACTTTAATTCAAAGTAGTGCAGGTAAGTTATTACTCGTGGGGAGGTGGAGGTAATAGTTAGTAAAGTGGGTGGAAAGAGAAAGAAGCAAAACTTACTGGAAAAGAGAAGACAAATAAAAGTGAGGCAGGTAGATTGAATGCACACAGGAATGAAATAGCAATTTTATTTGGAAAACTACTAGCAGTTCAACATTGGGGTAAAAAGATGCCGAGGGAAAAAAAAAAAAAAAAAAAACCACTTAAGGAATAAAGTTGATGAGTTTCAGAGAAATCCAGAACCTTGTAGTTAGTATACAAAAGTTGGGCATTTTTCCGAGGAAGTCAGGTTCTAAAATGGGTTGCAAACTAAAAAATATATTAAGTACTACTGTCACTGTTGCCATGAAGCCACATTTTTATAAATGCTGAAGAATGTTTAGATTTGCGTATTAGTTCATTATGACAGTATAAAGGATGGATTAAGGGGGAGCAACAACAATTATAGTTCAGATAGTGGTCTAAGTATTTTACTCATTTAATCCTCACACCAACCCCTATGACATAGGTACTATGTATCTACACTTTAAAAACAAGGAACTTGAGGCACACTGAGGTTAACTATTTTTCTCAGATTCACACAGCTATTCAGTGGCAGAGGTATTTGTAGGATAAAATTAGAATTAGGGAGATAAATCAGGAGGCTGTGGAATAGTACAGACAAGAAATAGAAGCTAGCTATAACTAAGACAGAGGTAAGATGGGGGAAGAAGAGAAGACAGAATTGTGGAGTGAAATCCACAGGATAAGATTATGAAATAGGATATTGGGAAGCTAGAGATGATGTTAAAATGCTTCTCAATTTTTTACTTTCAGTATCTTCTGATTATATATACTCTAGAAGAGACACAGTTCTAAAGAGTAAGGAGAAAATAATTTGGTTTGGAACATGTTTAATATATTTTGGTCCAGCCAAGAAGAAATGTTTAATAGACATGCACATATGCAACTGTAAAGTTTGGAGGAGAAGTCAGGGCCACTATTTAAAAGGTAAAAGACAACTCAAATGAATATACCTGTCATGACATCAGATGGGGAAAGTGACTTAGTAAAGACTAAGATTTATATGATCAACACTGCAAATACTATAAGCTATACAGTAAGTACCCAAAATATGAGTGGTGTCAGTGCCAGCCTATTTTGTACTGATCAGACCATGTATGAGTCAGACAGAAATTATGATGCATTTCTGTAAAGTTACACCATATGTGCCTGCCTCTCCTGTTTCCCCCTTCCACCTCCTCTAACTGCCACTCACGAGATAGCACAAGCAACCCTGCCTCATCCTTCTCCTCCTCAGTCTACTCAACATGAAGACAGAGGATGAATACCTTTATGATGATCTACTTCTACTTAAAGAACAGTAAATCATCATCATGCTGTATAGAGTTAATAAACTTATCTGTTGTGTATATTCGGAAGGAAGGCTGAGCATTCCTACTTCCGTAGTGATACTGCCTTGGAAACCCAAGGAGGGGTCGCTATGAGTCGGGGCCGACTCGATGGCAAATAATAACAACAACAACGTTGTGTATATGAATGTCTTTGGGTGAAAAGCTAGTAACTGTATAGCAAAAATTGTGTTAATGAAGCTATCACTCTCCTTAAAACTCATCTTAATCTGTTATGGTCCATTATCTGTTATATTCAGATTAAAAAGGAGAAATAGTACTCTTGTTTTTACCTTTAAATGTGAAATAAAGCAACAGTTACACATACTCACACACATTAGTGGCTCCTCAGTCATCCTTCCCAAATACTTCTTTTGTTGTTTATCATTTCCAGCAATAATAATAGGCATTTGCTATAAAAGAAATTGACATTAAAGAAAAAGCAAGATATTTTAACTGATATGTAAGTTCAGAGATGCTATAATTCAAACAAAAGAAGAAATATTTTCTTCCTAAGTGATCCAAAGAACTGGCCTTTACTTTGCATCTAAGTTACAGAGCTACAGCAAGCAGAAATAAATGTTAATCTAAGCATATTCATAAACTTTATAAATTATATGGAAGACTTGTTGATAACACAATATGTTAAAATCTACTGTAGTAAAATATACCAATAAAGAATTAAATTTAGGATGAGTGACCTGGTATGTATGACCAGAACTCCGAAAATTTCTAACTAAATTTTAACACTGCCACTGGCAACAAACATCCTGATCTTTCTCTTGAATGCTAACTCCCAAACCATCCTGACCTTTTTCTTTTCTTTTTAAATTTTATTGTGTTTTGGGTGAAAGTTTACAGAGCAAATTCATCTTCCATACAGCAGTTCACAAATACTTTGTCCTGTGACCTTGACTATAATCTCCCACAATGCAACAGCTCTCCTCCTACTTCCTCCTCGTAGCCACCTCTTCCCTGTGTCCTTCCCTCCCATGCACTCCTGCCCCCCTGAGCTGTCTCCCTATACATACACAACCCTTCTAGTCTCCCATGACTGATCTCTCCAAGGAGTATATCTACCTAATGTAACTGATTAGCTCATATGCCTGTCTTTTATTTGGCTGGAAGCCACAGGGGTGGGTTCAATTCCAGACCTGAAGGGCAACTAGGAGCCATAGTCTCAGGGGTCCCACCAGACTCTATCAGACCAGCAAACCTGGTCCCTTTTTTTCCATCCTGACCTTTTTCCTGAATGTTGGCTGTGAACCAAAACCAAACCCATTGCCATCGAGTTGATTCCAACTCATAGTGACCCTAATGGGACAGGGCAGAACTGCCCCATAGCATTTCTAAGGCTATAAATCTTTATGGAAGCAGACTGTCTTATCTTTTACCTGCTGAGTGGCTGGTGGGTTTGAACCACTGACCTCTTAGTTACCAGTCAAATGCTTTAACCACTGCACCACCAGCTGGCTGTAGGCACTGCCCTAATCTAAGAATTGCCACTGGAAGCAGCCACAAAGGTACATAGTTTCTCCTCAAGGACAGATACTCTGAGAACTGGAGATAACAAGGCCGGAGTGACTGAGCCTTGGTATCAAAACTCCAGGCTACACTGCAAAATCTTGTGCTCCTTTTCTTTTTAAAGAACACTGGGTTCTAGCAACTAATATTTTTACTACTAATTTATTTAGCACTAGGAAAAGTAAACTGTATGAATGGTTAACATTATTGATTCAATAAATCAAGAAGATACTTAAGAGATGGAAGAAGACAAAAATCCATCGAGTTATTCCTCAGGATAAGATTAACTTTTGGTAATAAGACAAATATAAAAATCTCCAAAACCAAAACTCTATAAAATATTGCAAATAACAATGTAATGCAGAGAAAGTTTGTATAAATAAGCCTGGGTGGATAAAAAAGAAAAAATCATTACACTTTCATTTTCTATAAAGATCTCTCACTTTTAGATATAAGCTGATAATAAAAAAAAAGTTCCATAGTAAGATTTTTACTTGACAAACTTTCATAAACATCCATTATCTATGTAGTCCCTTCCAACCTAACCTAGTAGTAACTTTCTCATTAACAGTTTAGTTAATTAATTTTCTAAGTAACTTACCCCCAAAGAATTTGCTTCAATAGCAGTCTGAACCCCAGTACATCCATAGGCCAATTCTTCAGTAATTAAACAACTATCAAAAATTGCAAGTCCAAGGCCTCCTACAGTATCAAAATATTTTAGGAGTCCATTACAATATATATTGCATCTCTACAGAAATAAAGGTGAACTACTTTGATTACTTCAAATCCAATCAAATAAAAGCAAATTTGCAAACACAATATTTGTAACACAAGAAACTACAGAAAAGTATTGTGGCTGGCATACTGACAAATTATGCTTTTCTAAAATAAATTTGAAATATTTTGAAAGTTCTCTTACTACTTATAATTTATACCTATATTCCTGTTTCAATTTGATTTTATAAAGATTTGTTCCAACTCTGCTGAAATTTTGATCCTATCACTTAAGGAAAGAAGTGACAATATTAGAAGAAAAAAAGTTACCAAGAAAATGTAAAATAGAAGATAGGACTAAAATGTAACAAACTGATCAACTCTAGTGAGAGAAGTTACCAAAGTTAAGGATCAAATTAAGGTTGGAACTAGTTATAAAGAAAGAAAAATACCTCTAAGTATGAATATAAAACTTCTAAAAGCAGGTAAATACTTAAGTCTGAACAAGCAAAGGTAGAAAACCATTTAATGGAAATAAATACTTGAAAGACTAAGCAGAGTTTCACAATTTATCTTATTTATTTGTATTCTAGGATTAAAATTCTGAGAAAGTTTACCACAACTCTCTGGAATGTGTGTATTCATCAACCCAAGTTCCCAGGCTCTTTTAATTAGGGGGACAGGGAACTGAAAGAAAAAAAGCCAGTTAGTATATTTAAATCTAGATAGTTTGCTTATATGGCCTTGTAAAAGCTGCAAAAGACTTTTCTCTCCTTAAAAATGTATATACCTACCTCGCCACTTTTATCATAATCCGGAGCAACAGGGATTATTTCCTCCCGGGCAAATTTACGAGCAGTAGCTTGAAATTCTTTCTGTTGTTCATTGAGTTCTAAGGGAAAATTATTTTGAAAACATTAAAATGGGACAATGAATGAACAAAAGTCCTATGAAATCAGTATGTACAAATTATATTTATAATAGGGACTTTAACCCTTGCTTAACTAGAAAATCAAAGACTACAATGTTACATTACTTAAGAAGATTTCACTGTATAATATAAATGAATCTATGTCAAAACAAATGTCAAAGGAGGTAGGTAAGATTTCTAGCTTTTACAAATCAGTAATATGTATAAACCTGTAAAGTGCACGTGAGTTTTTCTTTTCCAAATGGTTTTTTTTATTACTAGTCACTAAACAGCAGCTCTGGTAGCATAGTGCCTAAGCCACTTGACTGCTAACCAGAAGGCTGGCGGTTCAAACCCACCAGCCACTCCTCGGAAGGAAGGTTGGGCAATCCTACTTCCGTAGTGATACTGCCTCGGAAACCCAAGGAGGGGTCGCTATGAGTCGGGGCCGACTTGACGGCAAATAACAACAACAACAACAACAACAACAACAACAAAACAGCAGCTCTGGTGGTAGTGCCTAAGGCATCTAACTACTAACCAGAAGGCTGGCAGTTCAAACACACCAGACACTCCTTGGAAGGAAGACTGGGCAATTTACTTCTGTAGTGATGCTGCCTGGGAAACCCAAGGAGGGGTCCCTATGAGTCGGATCCGACTCTATAGCAATGAGTGAGTGAGTTACTAAACAGATGAAAGCCAGGGTACAGGAGGCAATGCAGGTGATAGAGCAGCTGGGGGAGACCAGGAAGTGAACAGAGAGGTTCTGGAACAGATAAGGAAGACAAATTTGTCTGTCAGTTTGTTGTACTGTGGTGGTTTACGTGTTGCTGTGAGGATGGAGGCTATGTCACCAGTATTTCAAATGTCCAGCCATGGTGGACAGGTTTCAGTGGAGCTTCCAGACTAAGATAGGCTCGGAAGAAGGAAGGTACAATTCACTTCTCAAAGAACTGGGCAGTGAAAACCTTATGAATAGCAGTGAAATACTGATATATTACTGGAAAACTTTATGAATAGCCCTGAAACACTGTCCAATATAGTGACAGAATATGAGCCCCACAGGTGGGAAGTCACTCAAAATACGACTAAGGAAGAGCTACATCCTCAGAGAGGCAACCTTAGTGATGAGGATAGAGTAAAGCTTTTCAGACCTCCATTTGCTGATGTAGCACATCTCAAGATGAGAAGAAACAGCTGCAAACATCAATTAATAATTGGAACATGGAATGTATGAAGCACGAACCTAGGAAAACTGGAAGGTGTCAAAAATGAAATAAAACGTATAAAGATCAATATCTTAGGTATTAGTGAGCTGAAATGAACTGGTTTTGGCCATTTTGAATCAGACAATCATATGATCTATTATGCTGGGAATGACAAATTGAAGAGGAATGGCATGGCATTTATTGTCACAAAGAATGTATCAAGATCTATCCTGAAGTACAATGCATCATTGACAGGATAAAATCCATATACCCACAAAGAAGACCAAATACTACTACTACTACTATACAAATTTACACATCAACCACCAAAGCCACAGATGAGGAAATTGAAGTTTTTTACCGATTTCCACAGTCTGAAATTAACCAAACATGCAACGCAACCAAGACGTATTGATTATTACTGGTAATTAGAATGCAAATGTTGGAAACAAAGAACAATCACTGGTAGCTGGACAATAAAGTCTTAGTGATAGAATTTTGCAAGACCAATGACTTATTCATTGCAAATACCTTTTTTCAACAACATAAATGGTGGCTATACAAATGAACCTCAACAGATGTAATACAATAGGAATCAGATCTACTACATCTGTGGAAAGAGGTAATGAAGCAGCTTAGTATCTTCAGTCAAAACAAGGCCAGGAGCTGACTGTGGAACAAACCATCAAATGCTCAAATGCAAGCTCAAGTTGAAGCTGAGGAAAATTAAAATAAATCCACGAGAGCCAAAATATGATCTTGATAATATCCCTCCTGAATTTAGAGACCATCTAAAGAATAAATTTGATGCACTGAACACCAATGAGCAAAAACCAGAGGAACTGTGGGATGATCAAGAACATCATACATGAAGAAAGCAAAAGATCATTAAAAAGATAGAAAAGCAAGAAAAGACCAAAATGGAAGTCAGAATAGACTCTGAAACTTGCTGTTGAACGGACAATAGCTAAAGCAAATATAAGAAATGATAACATAAAAGAGCTGAACAGAAGATTGCCATTTCAAAGTGCAGCTTGAGAAGACAAAGAAATGTGCAAAGACCTTGAGTTGGAAAATGAAAAGGGAAGAACACTCTCAGCATTTCTCAAGCTGAAAGAACTGAAGAAAAAAATTCAAGCCTCGAGTTGCAATACTGAGATACTATGGACAAAATATTGAATGAATATCAAAAGAAGATAGAAGGAATATACAGAGTCATTGTACCAAAAAGAACTGCTTGATGTTCATCCATTTCAGGAGGTGGTATATGATCAAGAACAGATGGGTACTGAAGGAAGAAGTTGAAACTGCACTGAAGGAATTGGCAAAAAACAAGGCTCCAAGAATTGACAGTATATCCATTGAGATGTTTCAACAAACGGATGTCACACTGGAGGACTTCCTCATCTATGCCAAGAGATTTGGAAGACAGTTACCTAGCCAGCTGACTGGAAGAGATCCATATTTGTATCTCTTCCTAAGAAAGGTGACCCCCAAAGAATGTGGAGATTATTGAACAATATCATTAACATCACATGCAAGTAAAATCTTGCTAAATATATTTCAAAAATGGTTGCAGCAGTATACTGATAGGGAACTTCCAGAAAAGCAAGCAGGATTCAGATGAGGATGTGGAATGAGGGATTCATTGCTGATGTCAAATGGATCTTAGCTGAAAGCAAAGAATACCAGAAAGATGTTTACTTGTGTTTTATTGACTATGCAAAAGCATTCAGTTATGTAGATCATAAAAAATTATGGATAACATTGAGAAGAATGGTGGAATTCCAGAATACTTGATTGTACTCATGAGGAACCTATACAAAGACCAGGAGGATGCCATTGGAACAGAAAGAGAATACTGTTAAGGCTTAAAATCGGAGTATGTTAAGGTTGTATCCTTTCACCATACTTATTCAATCTGGATGTTGAGCAAATAATCCAAGAAGCTGGATTATATGAAGAAGAACATGGCATCAGTATT